GGTGGGTCCGTTCTTTGAAATGGTGGAAGAAGCTACACCCCATCACTCTGCTGGGCAAGGGTTTGCCCTGTATGGCTTTGGGTGGTCCTGACCACACAGCTTTGGGTGGTACCACTCTTATAGTTATGAGCATGGGTTGTCTGATCTGCTGAAACTCAAGCAATAGATTTCCAAACTTTAATACCAAGGAGGCAGACTTAATGATCTCTGAATCATTTCAGGGGGTCTTCTTCTCTTGACTTGGAGAACATTGTGTATTCACAGCTCAATTGCTCTACGGTCCCATCTTATAAAATCTAAGAAATCTTACAACTTTTCTTCATTCCTTCTTATGTCTTTCCCCTTCTGTCAAATTGGCTGTTTTCCTTCTGAGGTGACTGTTGTTTCTATTTACATGTTCACTCTTTGCCTTTTGATTGGGTAGTTTAATCTAGTATATTTAAAAGATGCCATTTTTTGTTTTCTGTATGTCTTACAGCGTTAGGTTCCTCACTTGCTCCATTACTGCCTTCCTTTGTGTTTAGTTAAATTTTTACAGTGGCACGTTTTGATTCCCTCCTCATTTTGTTTTGTGTACATTCTCAGATAGTTTCTTTGTGGTTACCATGGGGATTACATTTAATATTCTAAAATTATAACAATCTAATTTGATTTGATACCAACTTAACTTCAACGGCATACAAAAATTATCCCTTTACAGCTTCATGTTATTGATGTCACAAATTACACCTTTATATATTTTGTACCCATTAACATAGATTTATGATTATCTTATGCATTTGACTTTAAATACTATAGAAAATAAAAATGAATTTTACAAACTAAAATTACAACAGTAATAGTTTTGATATTTTATCATGTATTTTCCTTTACTAGAGATATTTATATATTCATGCAGCTTCAAATTATTGTATAGTGTCCTTTTATTTCAACCTGAAGCATTCCCTTTAGCACTTCTGGGAGGGCAGATATAGTGCTAATGAGCTTGCTCAGCTTTTGTTTATCTAGGAATATCTTAATTTCTCCCTCATTTTTTGAAGAACAGTTTTACTGGATATAGAATTCTCAGTTGACATGGTTTTGCTTTCAGCATTTTAATACAACATCCCACCATCTTCTGGCCCCTACTGTTTCTGCTGGGAAATTGACTTGTTATCTTATTGAGAATCTTCTGTGTGATAAGTCATTTTTCTCTTACTGCTTTCAAGATTCTCTCTTTGTCTCTAACAGTTTGATTATAATGTGTCTTGGTATGGACCTCTTTACTTTATCTGATTGGAGTTCATTGAGCTTCTCAGATTTGTAGATTCACATCTTTCTTCAAATTTGGGAAGTTTATAGCCATTATTTCTTCATGTAATCTCTTTACCCCTTGTCTTAGTCTGTTTGGGCTGCCATAACAAAATACCATAGCTTATAAACAACAGAAATTCATTTCTCACAGTTTTGGGGGCTGGGAAGTCCAAGATTAAGGTGCCAGTAGATGTCATGTCTGGTGACAGCCGCCTGCCTGGTTCATAGACAGAACCTTGTTAAACCAACCCTTACCTTTCTGGTCACTTCTCTGCCCAAAATAATAATAATAATAATGAAAACTTGTATATTTTTCTCTTGTTAATCTATCTTATGTCAGTTTAATGCTTAAGCTGAACACCCTAAGGGGGTCAAAGAGAAAATTTTCCTCCCCTACACTATCAAATATCTAAAAGATTGTGTGTATGTGTGCATGTATGTGTGTGTCTACACATACAACTTCCAAGCAGTTTCTAAATTCACAGGGAAAAGTAAGGGCTAAGACTAAACTATGTTATTTTGAAATAGAGGGCTAAAGAAGATGAATTTACATACTGGATATCTAGATTTGCAGTAAAGCAAATTTGTAGTAAAGCAAAGTAACCATTAAAGTCAGATGATATGATTGACAGGTGAATGAATAAACAAATATATACAATGGAATATTATTCAGCTTTAAAAAGGAATAAAATTCTGACACATACTTCAACATGGATGAATCCTGAAGACATTATGCTGAGTGAAATAGGCCAGACACAAAGGACAAGTATTGTATAATTCTATTCACATGAGGTACCTAAAATAGTCAAAGTCATAGAGAAAGAAAGCTGTATGGTGGTCACTAGGGGCTGAGGGGAGGGAGAATGTTTAATGGGTACAAAGTTTTAGTTTGGGATGATGAAAATATTCTGGAGATGTATAGTGTTGATGGTTGTGCAACAATGTGAATGTACTTAATATCACTGAATTGTACAGTCAAAAATGGTTAAAATGATAAATTTTATGTATATTTTACCACAATTTAAAAAACCCAAATGCCATAAAGATGGACAACTAGAACGATAGGGGGGAAAAAGTGAGCACAGAAAGAGACCCATCAGAGCTTGGTATATGATAGAAGAAACATTAAAATCTGTAGGGAAGAAAATGGACTCTCCAATGAACAGTGTTGGACAACTGGCTACTACTGTGGTAAAAGATAAAATTACATCCCTATCTCACATCACACATAAGTTAGAGTTGAGTGTTGCTATCAAACTATGAAAGGCCAAACTTTAAAGCTTTTAGGAAAAAAAATATGGCAATGTCTGCCTAGTATCAGTAGAAAAGATTTCTTGGACATAGTATGAAAATCTGTATTAGTTTTCTAGGGCTGTTGGACCAAGGTGCTACAAACTGAGTGGCTTTCAACAATAGAAATTTATTCTCTCACAGCTCTGGGGGCCAGGAGTTCAAAATTAAGGTGTCCACAGAGTTCTGAGACTCTGGGTCTCAGATCCTTCCTCTGAGACTGGGTAGAATCTTTCTTTGTCTCTCCCTAGCTTCTGGTGACAGCCATCATTCTAATCTCTGCCTCTGTTGTAACATGGAGTTCTCTCTGTGTGCCTGTTTCTAAATAATTTCCTTCTTTTAATAAGAATACCAGTCTTGGGGTACATGGGTGGCTCAGTCAGTTGAACGTCCACTCTTGATTTCGGCTCAGGTCATGATCTCAGGGTGATGAGATGGAGCCCTGCATCAGGCTCTGCGCGCTCAGCACAGAGTCTGCTTTTCTCTCTCCCTCTGCTCTTCCTCCCACTCTATCTCTAAAATAAATAAATAAAATCTTAAAAAAAAAAAAGAATACCAGGCTTATTGTTATAAAAACCCACACTATTCCACTATGACCTCATCTTAACTAATTATTTCTGCAACAACCCTATTTCCAAATAAGGTCACATCCTGAGGTAGTGGGGAGTGGGACTTCAACATACCCTTTTGGGGGGACACAATCCAACCCATAACAAAAGCATTAACTATAAAGGAAAAGACTGATATATTTTAATGCATTAAGTAAAAAGTGAGCAATTATTTCCTTTCTTCTGTAAGATATGTCAGATAAAAGATATCATGAAAAAGAGATTAGAAGAGATTAGAAGAAGACTTTAATAATCTTGGTACGATAAAATAAATGCAAGTATTAAACAAAAACTACACATTTTAACATGTCATTTTTATTGAAAAAGTAACATATCTTACATATTTAGTATAAAAATATAAAGTACAAATTAATTTTCTCTTTCATTTCAAGGTTTTATTTAACACACATTGTAGTCTTTTTCTTTGAGTTTTAAATCCTTGTTTAAAAGGTCTTCGGAGCTCCTGGCTGACTCAGTCGGTAGGGTGCGCTGCTCTTGATCTTGGGGTTGTAAGTTAGCGCCCCACGTTGGGTGTAGAGATTATTTAAAATTAAATCTTTAAAAAAATAAGAAAATAAAAGGTTTTCTTCACTTTGAGATTACTTTTGAAATTCCTCAACGTTTTTTTCAGTATAAGGGATAAGGCAGTGGCTGGTTCTAAATTTTTTTTCCCATAGGATTAGGTATTCATTCACTCCATCATTCATTTATTCACAAATATATTTTGTGTGGGTACTATGTTAAAGTACTGTCCCAGGTCCTGAGGTTACAGATGTGAACAGGACTACATGTTCCCTGCTATCACAGTGCTTACATTCTGGTGAGAGGAGGCAGGCTTTAAAAAACAGAGTAACAAATGAAGTCAATTTGTCAGTATGTAAAAACTTAAGTAGTGTTATAGAAAATAGAGTAAGAAGGGCCAGAAATGCCAGGTATCTGGAGCATGTTGTAAATTTAAATTTAAATGAGCCTCTTTTGAAAAAACTTATTTGATCAGATACGTTCTAATGAACGTTTGAGCATACAAGCAAGCCCAAAGTATGAATTATGCTGTGTTTAAGACAACAGTTAGAAGAGATTGGACAAATACTCCAACTAATTTTTTTTCTCCAACTGGTTAGATCAAATGGTGAAATAAAATGTTTTGTGTCACAATTTTGGCAGATAAAAGCAATTGCTCTTCTGGCAGAGGCAAGTAACTGAAACAGTTGTATACTAGACAATGACATTTGGCAGTGGAGGATGGGGTAAGAGGGTAGGGGGTGGGGATCAGATCTTTCCTAGGTTCTTTTCTGCTAATTTACCTGTGTTTGGCATTTCCAGTTTCCTATTTCTCCTCCTGCTCCCATGAGACCAAATTCCCTTGTTCTGATTAGCTGTTCACTCATTATGGAGTCCTTTATCAAAAATATTATCAGTGCTGTTGACCAGCCTGACTTTTGGTAGTGAAAATCACAAGTCATTCAGAAATAATTCCTTGTTCATTGAGCATAAACTTAGTTTTTTTTTTAACAAAATGGTATTATTTTGAGTAGAATGTTCTTATTTCCATCAAATCCAGGCATATGAGATAACTCCTGTGAGTTCATGCACAACACAAACACCCTTTGCACATCGCATATATTGACAGAGGCTACCTCCCAAGATCATGACCTTTTAGTGGTTCCCCTTTCTTTCAGCTTTGGCAATGTTGTCTCTTATGGTAACCTGGAAGCGACCAAGGTGATATAACACTTATGAGATGGATCATTGGATGCCTGGGTGGTTCAGTCAGTTAAGCGTCTGACTAGATCTCAGCTCAGGTCTTGATCTCAGGGTTGTGAGTTCAAGCCCGGTGTTGGGTTCCATGTGGAGCCTACATAAAAAATAGATGGATCATTAATCTTTCTTCTGGAATCTTCACAAGAGTAGATAATAAAGACAGCTGTTTATTGCTACACAAGTGTTTGGAAACAGAATCCTCTAGATTTCTGCTAGCAAACTGATACCTGCTAGAGCCCTGAAAGTTCTTTCGGCAATTTCACTTTCTTAGAATGACTTGGTCATATTCAGAGATATTAGAGGAGCGTATGTTGCCTTTTTGGTCTTTCGGTTGAAGTGGCTTTGCTCAGACTTCCTTGCTTTGCTGTGAATGGTCACTTTGAGAATAATGTTTTTCTTTGCAGATTATTTAGCCAATTAAAAAGGCTCCAAAAAAACTGGCTTCTTGGTCCATGTCAATCAATTGCTCATTATTTACAGAGACAAAAATTCTATCATTTTCCTTAAGTTCAAATATCCCACCTTGATAGATGGAATAGAGTCCATATTCAGAATCTTTAGACCAACAACTATTTCTAGCACTTTTCATCAGTAGTATAGGGTCAGGATAACTTGTGTATTTGTAAATATATTGTACCATTTGTTTGTTTCTCTTTCTGTTCTGTTCTGTTGAAATTGTTCCCGAAGTTTCCTCAAGTTCCTGAAATCGAAAGTATGTTTGGGAATAGATGTAATAAAACCCCTTTTGATGGATAATAAGCTCTCCATTCCTCAAGTGCAAATTATTCAAGAATGAATGTCCTTTTCTTGATGACTCCCAGGAGTTTATTTTCTGGCCCAAAGCTTTTTCATTCTTGGAGCCTGGATGAAGTTTAGGGAGAAAGAAAATTAAAAGAAAGAAGTTTGTAGCAAAGGTAAGAATTATCTCAGTAGCTGTGGCTAGCCAATTTTCTGGTGGGGATTTTAAAGAATTTCAATCTAGTATAAAACTTCTTGCTCCTTCAATCTTACAAGGATTCTAAACTTCAGTCTTATAGGAATCTGGAGGCTACTGTATCATTGTGATCTGCTGGAAGTCCCTTACTTTTCTGTACCTCATCCACCACTTAGGCCATGCCTGTGACACTCAGGTCTAAACTGTAGCATGGGAGATGATTAACTCAGATGGCAATCTTTACTCCTGGACAGAACTTCTGTCCCAAACCCCTGCCTCCCTTCCTATGCTGGTGAGTGCAAATGAGTAACAGATAAGGATACTAAAAGAAACATTATCTATCTCTTCAAGCCTGGAGCTCAGAACTTATTGCTATTTCTTTGGGTCTCTTTGGGTTCCTTCTTGGTCCTTCTCAGCAATCGAGAGTCAAAGGCACCATTCAAGCAGAAAGCATCTCTAGTCCACAATAAGACAGGGCACATGGTTTGGCAAAGAAAGCTCAGATTTAAAGACCTTCAGACCCCTGGATCTTTAGCTCCCAAAGACTTTGAATGAAAAAGGGCCCTACCAAAACATGATATTCCTTTAACTTTGGGCTCATCTCCCGAATTGGTGCAAAATTTAGTTTTTCAACAGTATAAAACAACTATCGTGTTTCTTGATGAATAGTAAACAGTAACATTATAATAATGATCTCACTCATAAGCAGAACATGTCAATCATTGATAAAGCATGAGTTGAGGAATACCAGGAAGGCAACTGCCCTGAAAAAAAAAAAAATCCCACAATCTTTTCATATTTTAACTGATACCTGAAATTTCTTTAACTTGGGATAAAACCTCTCATCATAATAAAAGCAACTATTTATTGAGTACTTACAATACACAGGAATTTTGCCTGTGCTAATCTTCAGTATTTTATAACTTAAATATTATCTTTACTTTGTATCTGAAGAAACTGAAGCTTGATTTGATTAGGTAATTTGCTCAAAACATGTATCTAGGTAAAGAGGAGCTGGTATTCCAACATAGATATTTAGACCGTAAGACTCTTGCACTGTTACAACACTGTGTGGACACCGGTTCTTTAGGTAAGAAATAGGCTTACCTTAATTGGTTAAACTATATGAAACTGACATATCTGTGAGTGAAAAATGGTCAAATATTGGCAACTTCCCATAATTCAACCAAATACAAATGCCACAAGGAATACCTAGTGACTCATGGTGAAAGTAAATAACTGATTTAGAACCTTTAAAGAGGAGGAAGATTTGATGGGAGTGAGAAAGAGAAATTACTTTGAAGAAGAGGAAGAAAAGCACAAATAGGGGCATGGGAAACTCAAAGACAAAGTTCTCCCACCACATAATTTTCCTGAGAGCAGTTATTGAACTATTTGTCTTGTAATCTTGCTTCTGAAAAGAGTCAATCTGAGCCCAGATTCCTACGAACATTTTGTAGACAACCATATCAACATTTCATGTACAAGTTAAAAGAATACATTATTTGGGACAAATTTTTCCACTGCCTTCCTTTAAGTCATTTATTTGTTGTTTCTCTTACTTGGAACTGGAGACATGCTTCTTCTCCGACTGCTTCCAGTTATGTGAGCTGCTACTCTTTGAAGACCTCTTTCACTTACTACGTAAGGAATATTTAGCTGCTTTTCTAAAAGAAAAATGACAAAAAATCTTCAGCACTTGTCAAATCACTTTTCAAATACATTCAGAGCTGCTATCGGTCAGACATTGTAAGTACACTGGGCTTCCAAAGTTGATTGTATGGGCTTTCATAAAAACAGCCTACATTTTAATATGATGATCCATCTATTCCAGCTTATGTTTAATTTTGAAAGTGTTTTAGATGAGAAGAATAAGCAGTAACTGGGGTCAGAATTTATTGGCATTTCAAAGGTAAGGTCCAACCAGAATATAACAAAACAAAGATTCTGGTCCTTTTCCAAAACAAACAAATAAGTAAATAACTGTGGACATGTAATAATTCTGCTGAGTCATTTAAAGTGCACAAATAACCAAGCACTGGTGAATTTCAATGAGTTATATGTAGAAACAATCAGAGCGATCCTAATTCTAAAGGAGTAGCAGTGATAACGAGGGTCTATAGATGCTACAAACTGGTACCCAATAGTTCATCCCCCGCCCCCCTAAAGGAAATATGAATTGGCATACTGGTCATGACAGTTAGTATATAAACATAAAAATCATGAATTCATAGATCATAATAAACAAATAACACTTATTGATCACATTCTGAAGTACTTTGGAGCAGCCTTTTAATATACAAATTCAACAAACTACCCTTTAAAAAAAATCAGCTCAAACTTCCCCAGTGTGCTTACACTGGTTGTTAAGATAAATGATATTCTTTCACCAAGCAAATATTGCCAGGAATGAGGCACGGCACTATGCTGGACAGGGGTTGCAAAGATGAATCACTGATTACACTGACTGAGCCTTCAAAGGACTTACAGTCTTTTAGGAAAGATATGAACTAGACAGTGAAAATTTATCTGTGAGAAATATAAATAAAGGGGGATGGGTCTTCAGAAGAGGGAAAGATTCCTATTTATTGGAGGACTAAGGTCAGGGGAGGGTTTGTGCTAAGGCTTACTCCAACACACCAAAGTGCCCATCACATCTATGCCAGGCACTCTTTTAGGAGCAAGGAGAAAGAATTAGAGACAGATGAATGCAAGCAAATATTTGAGGTGCAAGGATAATGATCTGAACAGGATGGGGGGGCAGACTTGGGAAGGAAGGAATGGAAGAAGGGCATTCTAGGAGATCCAGGACAGGGGCCGGAGGCAGGATGCACAAAGCATTCCTGGGCCACAGCATGGGAGGAGTTCAGTCTCAGGCTTGAATGAGGAGCCAAATGATAGGGGATTTGAATGTGAAGCTAAGAGATGTGGATTGTACAGGACACGGAAAGACTCTGAAAGATTTTGGTAGGAGAAGTGAAGAGATGATGTGTTGTGCTTTAGGCTATCCTATCTCAAAGTGAGTTTTGATGGGTAGAAGGTGGGAGGGCTGGAGACTGGCAAGTTACCACACTATAACTGATCGGGACTTAGAACAGGCGGCCTTCATCGAGGCTAGCAGGAGGTGGAAATGAAAGGAAGTGGTACAGTTTTATAGGAAAGGAATCAACAGGAAATGAGAATCTCTTCCATCTATTTGGTACAAGTTGTTACATATTCAGGATGGGTGGGCATCTGTACAGTCCTGAAGACCAAACATATCATGGGGATGCATGATCAATTACATAATACTCTCAGAATGCTCAGCTTTCAAGGCTGATGTGTCCTTTCACCTTTAACTTTCACTGTTAAGTAATTCATAATGCCTTGCCTGCCCTTAGACCTTAACGCTTTGTTTTAAAATATTCAATAACCGAATTCAATGATAAATATCTTACATTTGAGATCATTGCAATTTAGGAAAGCCGAAATATAAAAGCAAATTCTAAAGAGGAGACTTCAACAAATAAGTAAACAAACAAACAAAGAGGAGATTTCCTACTGGCTACAGCAAACACTTAGTGGAAAAGGAACCCGTGACTATGTCTATTTGGGTGTGTATACTGATTAGCACATGATTTCTACATCTTACTGTGATGAATAGAAAAGAGTAGGCTTCTTACAACACTGAAAATAGTACATGCATCTTCTGTAGACCATGGACCTGTTGCGCCTCATCAAAGGAGGAGGAGTGTGCACCGTTCTGACTACCACTTTCACTTTGGGGAAAATAATCAGAAAGAATGTTTAGACCTTGAGAACAGGTCTTATCCTTCATGTTTAATAAAGCCTATTTAATAAAGAAAAATGGGAGTTGTTAAGCAATGAGGAAGCTTGTTGTTTTGAAAAAAGAGAGTTGGAAAAGTAAAAAGACATCATTACAACACTTACATTAAAGAACTGTTTCTTCTCTGCCAGGCTGGTGTGCCCTAGGTTGGCAGTCTCTGGTATATGTATTCAGGCCTCTGTGGCCATCAATACGGGAAAATGGGGCTATGGTGAACCAAATGTGAAAAAGTAGCAAATTTTAGTCAATAGTTTTATTGACTTATGTATTCATTAAAAATATGTATTAAGAACCTTCTATGTGGAGAGAGATGGTGGTGGCACAATATTATGAATGCACGATCTGCCACTAAATTGGGCACTTCAAAATGGTTAATCGTAACATTTTCGAAGGTGGTAGAGTAGGAGGATCCTGAGCTCATATCCTCCTACGGACACACCAAGGCTACAACTGCGTATAGAACAATTCTCTCTGAGAAGGACCTGAAGACTAGCAGAACAGATCTTCCACAGCTGAAGTTATAAAGAAAAACCACAAGGAGAAGAGTTGAAAGGGAGCAGAGACAAGGTCTGGTCAGGACCCACCCGCAAGGTGATGTGATCTACAAGAGGAGGGGGAAAACATAGGTGTGGAGCTCCCCCTGGGGAGCAAGGGAGTCAAGACCCACACGGGGCACTGCCCCCCTGCCTGGGGACCTGCACTGGGATGACAAGCTCTCACAATGTCCGGCTTTGAAAATCAGTGCGGCTCACCTCCAGGAAAGCCAGAGGGCTCTAGGAAGCCGAGACTCTGCTTTTAAATGGCTTGCACACAAACTCACTCACTCCAAGACCCAGCACAGAGGCAGTGGGTTCAAAAGTGCTTGGGCCATATGTGAAGGAGATTTATTGACTAATTTCAGGGCATGTGATAGAAAGGCAGGGATCTATAGGCACTTGCTTTGGGAACAGAAGAGCTGGAGGCCTTTCCTCTTACCTTCCTCTTCTGTCTAGCTGGCCTGATGCACTGACTGGTGCCAGTTCTCACTCTCTTCGTCTACCTTGCTAGCACCACTCACCTCGCCCTGGAATTGCCCTGTGGACCTGCCCCACCCAATCTGCCCATCCTGGTAGAAGCTCCTCTGCAGCAGCTCGGCTGAGATCAGCGTCCCCTCAAAGCTGCTCCTGCCCTGCCCTGGAAAGATGCTCAGCATCCCTGATCATCAGGGAAATGCAAACCACAACCATGGTGAGACATCACCTCACACCTGTCAGAATGGTTAATGACAAAAAGACAAGCAACAACAAGTGTTGGCAAGGATGTGGAGAAAAGGGAACCCTACGGCACTGCTGGTAAGAATATAAACTGGTGCACCCACTCTGGAAAATAGTATGGAAATTCCTCAAAAAATTAAAAATAGGAAAACCACGCAATCCAGCAATTCCACTTCTGGATATTTATCCCAAGAAAATGCAAATGAAATCACTATCTTGAAAAGATGTGTGCACCCTTATGTTCATTGCAGCATTATTTATAATAGCCAAGATATGGAAGCAACCCAAGTGTCCATCAATAGATGAACAGATAAAGAAGCTGTGGTATATATACACAATGGAATATTACTCAGCTATAAAAGACAATGAAATCTAGCCATTTGAGACACCATGGATGGATCTGGAGGGTATTATGCTAAGTGAAATAAGTCAGACAGATAAAGACAAATAATGTAAGATTTCACTTATATGTGGAACCTAAAAACAAACAAAACAAGACAAACAGACACATAAAAACAGAACAAACTGATGGTTGCCTGAAAGGGAGTGGGTTGGGGAGATGGGTGAAATAGGTATAGGGGATTGAGAGGTACAAACTTCCAGTTATAAAACAAATAAGTCACGGTGATATAAAAAACGGTACAAGGAAGATAGTCAATAATATTGTAATAACTCTGTATGGTGACAGATAGTAACTATACTTATTGTAGTGAGCATTTTGTAATGTATGTAAATGTCAAATCACTATGGTGTACCCCTAAAACTAATATACTATTGTATGTCAACTCTACTTCAATGAAAAAATAAAATGAGAATGATACCTCAAAAAAAGTTACTTGTATGTTATGTGAATTTCATCTCAATTAAAACACACACACACACATACACACGCACACACACGCACACGAAAGGTGTTACACCTCAGTTCCAGGGAGATAAAAGAATCTACTAGGTTTGGAGCATCAGGTCAGGGGCTAGGTATAGACAGATGAGAGAAACAGACATGTGTTCTATCTTTGTGGATCTTTAATCTAGTAGGGAATCAGATAGCACACAAATAAAAAATATATATACACACAAAAGGAAATGCACAAGATAAGTGCTATAGAAATAGCAGGGTGTGGGAGGAACTTACTTAGAAAGGTAGGCAGGGAATTTTTCTCTGAAGAGGTAACAATGAGGTGATAGGATGAGAATAAGAGAAGCCAGGAACGGAAGAAGCCAGCCTGGGCAACAGCTCTCAAAGGGAATGTGGGTTGAAATAGGCTGCTGACCTTGAACGGGAAGGTGGTCACGGCTGAGGACCACAAGATGAGAAGTGTGGTGGGTAAAGGATTGCTGGGAAAGATGACAAAGTGAAGGGCTCTTGAATAAAGAAAGGCATAGAGCCTCGTGGTGGTCAGAAGCAGAGAAGATGGGTTTCGTTGGAGCCTTCATTTATCTTATCTCCAGCCATGTTCCAGAGAGGATTCAGATGACTTATGTACAACACATTTTGAAAGTAAAAAGTAAATAACTGAAGAAATCAAGGTGAAAGGGAAATCCATGGTGGAAAAACAAGATTCAGATGCAATAAAGTTTTGACCAGAGGTGGGGCCCCAGAATTGGCTCTAAGCTTTCTAACTGCCAACGCAAATAGGAAAATAGAATCAAGTGGCTTGAGAAACTGACTCGCAGCCCGAGGGGGGCTGGGTGGATGGGAGCAGAGAAAACGGGCTGGAGAGCTCTTCGCCCGGTCATGAAGTCGACAGTAGAAAATTAAAATAACAAACAAACAAAAATACTACCTGGAACTGTAGGAATGGTTTCCTCATAGGTTTTCAAAATCATCTGCAAACAGTATTGAATAAAGCTTGTTAATTTCCCTAAAAATTTCAACTGACTACAGAATGTCTACGACCCTTCTTGCTAATGCCTAAATGTCTAAGACATCATTTCTAAGTCAGATAGGAACCTCTGAAGCTTTAGCTGTTCAAGCACAGGGTTTGCGTGGGGTTGGGTGGGAGCTGGGGTGAGTACTGAGGCAGAGGCAGCTGTGGAAAGTTCTGTTTCTGTGGAAAGTTCTGTTTCAAAGGCCACAGCTGGAGCAGCCCAGGAGGAAGGTGCCATCTGGCAAGTTAGATGAAGCTAATGTTCCCCAAACCTCCTTGTGGCTACTGGATGTGGTGCCCAGACCTCCTCAGTTTCTCCGTGTGGGGTGTGGGTCTGCAGGCAAGTGTGTGTGTAAATGCACTGTGTAATAGTGTTTTCAGGGGCTCTGAATGGCTGGGCAGACCCACGCCTCAAGCGCTGAGGCACGCTTCACTCTCTCTCATGAGACCCACAGACATACAGAGCCCATGAAGGCAGGACCTGGCAACACTGTGTCATTCTCTCATTTCTGACATGTGGCCAGGGCATCCTTCACATAAACATGTTTTACCAAGTGCCAATACCTTTACTAAACAACTAGTATCACCTTCTTTGTACTAACCCGTGGGGAAAACCGGTAAGAAAGAAGGAAACCTTAGTCTTTCTATTAGATTAGCTAGTAGTGCTGAGCGCATCCGTGGCTTCTGAAGTCCCCTCCACTTAGTTCTGTCACCGGGGCTTTTGTCCATCACTGCCCTCCTTTTCCACCACTGTTGTTTCTTTTGAAACTGCCAGAAACTCCCCTCCTCTCTACTCCCACCCCAAACCAGAAGCTCTCGGCTTTCCCCTTGGTCTCAAACGCTGATCCGATAAGGGCAGGTCAGACCTTAGCCCGATGGGCATGGGGTGGTGGCCTCAGCATAGTCTCTCTGTCTCTCTCATTCTGGGATAGAAGGAAGGAAGGAAGGAGGAGGAGGAAAGAGAGAGGGGTAATTCCTATCGTGTGGGAGGCAGAATAAAAGAATGACGACAGTCTGGTCAGATGGACCAGATTCAAATGTATCAATCACTAGCTCTTGGAAACTTTGCTCAAGTTACTTAACTGATGTGAACTTTAATTTCTTCATCTATTTAAAAAAAAAAAAAAAAGAGGAAGAAGGGGCCCAGTTGGTTGAGCATCTAACTCTTGATTTCAGGGTCAGGGTCATGGGATCCAGCCCCAAGTGGGGCTCCACACTCAGTGGGGAGTCTGCTGAAGATTCTACCCTCGTCCCCCTTAGGTTCTCTCTCTCTAAAATAAATAAATGAATCTCAAAAAAAAAAAAAAGAGAGAGAGGAAGATAATAATTTTGATTCCTTCCTCACAGAGCTGTTCTGGGTATCTCATTAAATGAGATACCATATGGAATGGGGATAGGATGTTTACTGGAAAATAATCTGTTCCATTAATGGTGCCTGAAAAAAATGGGAAATCCTTCCCCCCTATCCTGCCACCACCTGTCTGTGTCCTCTCCCAGCCTCTCCCTATTCTAGTGAGTGGCAACGTGTGCGAATGGGAGGAAGTGAGAGAACAGGAAAGAGGTATGCGGAGTCTATCCCCACTACTTCTCTAATCCCCCACTCCCAGCCCCAGCATCCAGCCCCCTTCTCAGGCTCCAGATTTCTGCCCTAGTTCTGAGTTTCTCTCCCCTGCCACCTGTGGGTTTGCCCCCACCAACCCAGGGACTGCCGAATCCCATTTCTCATTCTCCTCAGGAGGTGCCCCCTTCCCCCCCGCCGCCCCAGGCTTCCTGGTCCTCACCACCTGGGGCAATGGAGTCACAGCTGCTTTGGTATAGTTTGTGTGCAGTGGGCACCCTGCCCTGGCCTCCAGGCGAGGTCAGATTTCATTTCTCATAGAAACGGCTTCCTAGGGGACATCTGGGCTCTATTGTGAAGACTGCTTGGGTTATCAATTGGAGCCCTAACCACAAGCATAACATTGTTTCTATGCAAAGACAGACTGAGAATTCAAACAATGGACTTGCAATCATATCTTTCAAACACACCTCCTTCCTGCCCTGGGAATGTCCCCAGTATTTTTTTTTTTTTTTCTTTTTGAAAAATAATGATGTTCTTTGACGGTTTACAGAGTACTTTCATACCCATGTTCTCATCTGACCTTTCCGGACAGGCAGAAGGCAAAACTATGAAAGTAAAATTATGTGATTTAGTGAAACAGTTTGCCGACATAGTGTTTCTGCTAGAAATCCTGTTTAAGCAACTTCCATAAACAGATATTTTGTAATTGGTTATTTTTTAACTATAAATTGAGATGTCATCACCTTCAATTTCTCAAGGTATCTCTTTCTTCCTTTTCTTTTCCTCTTTCTTCATCTCTACATGCATACAAAAATAAATATATGTTTAATTCCAGAGATCAACAAGGCTGGAAGAGTATAAAACACCAGTATTTGGCTTCTTCTGTCTTCTGAGCAACAACACCAAAATCACACACATCTTTTATTGTCGTGTGACCTGGAACACATTGCCCTGTCTGTGCCTCAATTTCCACAATGGGAGATAAAAAAGGTTAGACTCAATGGAGAGGCTCTCTGGAGTAGAGGAGTGAACTCTAGACCAGGAGTAAGCCAGGACCCGCTGTTTGGTGCTGTTCCACTTTCTCCTAGTTCTATGAATTCAGGGAAAAAAACATTTAAACATTCTGGGCCTCAGTTTCCTCCTTTGCAAAATGAGGCATCTCCACTTGATGATCTTAAGTGTTCCCTCTCCTTCGACTTTCCACGCCTGCTGGTGGCGTGACCCAGTGGTCCACCTACCTTTCTAACAACCTGACGGAGTTGCCACTTCACTTGCCAGCAAGGGTTGTTCATACTCTCCTCATCATCAGGGTCCCAAGGGATATCATCTTCCTTTAAGAAACAAGCGATGCCACTTTGGGAGTACTTGTCCTGCATCTGGGTTAAGATGGAATAGAACACAATATTATGCACAAGAGCTTTTTATTTTTGTTCATTTACGAGTTAAAGCAAGAGGAACTGATGGATGACAGATTCGGAGACATCTTGGCACCTTAGATAAGCTCATGGCTTGAAATAAAAGCAAGCATGCTGTCCTTTGTCTGGTGAATACAAGGAAGCAGCTGGATATTGTGGAAAGGTTACAGGTGTGGGCCAGACATCCTGGGTCACAATGCCCTTCACTGCCCCGGTGTGTCCCTCAACAAATTGCTTCTTCTCTTCTGTGTCTGTTTTTTATTTGATTTTTGAGCTGGTTCAATGTGGTGATCTTTGAGGTCCTTTCCAGCTCTGGGATGGTGAGGATCCCATTCTAAAGATGGGAAACCACCTAGGTACAAAGTAGGCAATAGAAGGGCACCTGGGTGGCTCAGTCTGTTAAGTGTCCGACTTCTGATTTCAGCTCAGCTCACGATCTCAGCATCGTGAAATCAAGTCCTGAATTGGGCTCTGGGCTCAGCGTGGAGCCTGCTTAAGATTCTCTCTCCCTCTCCCTCTGCCCCTCCCCACTCAAGCATTCTCTCTCAAATAAATAAATAAATAAATAAAAAGGTAGGCAATAGAGACCATTTAAATTCCAGAATCCTAAATAAAAATTAAACAAGTCTTTTGTGGCCTTTGGGGTGCAGGTAATGTTCTGTTTCTTGATCTGAGCTTTTGGTGTTGAGTAAATTCTAGTTACTGTTGTGATTTCTACTCCTCTGGTTGGCAGAATCTAGAATACATTGCCACTGGAAATTTTAACGTTGTTTTATTAAATGTCCACACTAGCCAGGGACTTACCTGCAGACACTTGAAACACTATTTGAAGGTTTGCCCCCTCCTTCTGATTGAGAGCAAACATTTATAATGACCAGGTAATTGTCAACAAAGTCCTAGCTTCATATTAAACACACACACACACATATACACACACACACACATGCACTCACAAACACAAATGCACGCACGCATACATCCCAAACCATCCAGCACATTCCAGGCTGATAACTGGTTAATTTTACAAAGAAAAACGGGAAGTCCATTCAAGGTCGGACATTAGTTTTTTTTTTTTTTCCTGTTTTTGTTTTTAACAACTGGGATTGAGGAGACATTATTTCCCTGTACAAATCTGAATCACCTTTCTCTGGAGAAATAAATGGGGAAATGGCCATTTTTATCTGTCGTTTGAACTTAGGGGACTCCAAAGCTTGAAGGAAAGATCAAACTTAATGATGGCTCCTTCCTATAAAAAGACAACCTCATTCCAAATCAAAATAACTTGTTTATGAGAGGTCCCAGCCAGAGTCACATTGTTCTGTGCCCAGCCATGTACCCCTCGGACATTTGATCAACGTCCCTCAAGGGCAAAAGTACAAACCTGAGTTGATGAATTCCTTCCACGTACTCTGGCATAGAACATTCATTTACTTTTAAATAAATGTTTACTTTCTTTCTTCCTGTTTTTAATTACAAGACCCAAACATTCAACTTAGTAGATGTACTAGGGGTGACAGCTGGGGCCACCTGAGTGGAGATATGACCAGAGGTGGAGTTAGACAACATTGCTTTGCCCCTTCACTCCCCATGCTCTTCTCCTGTAGACATCTATTTGCATCTCCAATATCTGTGGAAGCTAAAAAGCATTTCCCAGGAAGGAACTCAATTGGGTATGCTTTAGAAATACAAGAACATATCCAGGAACTGGGGGTGGGGAGGCTCAGAGAGGAGGAGCTGGATTCAGTACAAGGCCAGAGGGTGTTTCCAGGAAGAGCAAGTTAGCTACATTGGACACCGTCCCGGCGCAACCAATATGGGTGTTCTCTGGCCAGACATTGGTTTGATGAAACTGAATAAACAGGCTCACAGACTTCTCTAACTTGTTGCAATGAAAAGATGTGCATGACACAGAGAGGAGGGCAATTTATTTTCTTACTTCACAGCAGTTGGAAAGTCTCTCAGCCTGAAAGGATGAAGAACAGGAGAAGCTAGGGCCAGGGGCAGGTGAAGGCGGAGCTGAGAGTTGCCTGGGGACCATGAAGTAATGGGAGCTGGCAGCTTCCTGGGAACTGAAGAGAAGTGTGAGAGGGTGGGAATGCAGCAGGGCCCAGCCCAGGCCAGAACCAGCTGTGGCCTAGTGGTTCTGAATACTCCTTGGGGATTTTCCGGAAACACCTCTAGGAGGTGGGAGGGAGAACACTGAAAATTGAGTAAGATTGTAGATCTACATGGGAGGGAGGTTGACAGGCTAATGTGACTCCATTGTTATCCCAAATTTAATGAAGCCTAGAAACATTGATGGTATACAGGCAACCTGCAAAATATAGAAAAGTAAAGAATGCTTTTCTAAACGAAAAATAAACGAACAAAAAACCCACTAAAATCACCCTAATCCTACTTCTTATTTAACCTCTAGATGATCTCTCGTTTGCCAGGTTGTATGTGGGCAATTGTGTGTATGGTTGTTTTCTCTTAAGACTATATAAAAATGTCATGTTCTTTAAGCCTACATAAAAATCATATATAGATAGCATAGATATTTTTTATGGCATCCTCTGTAGAAAATTTATAAAATATAGAAAAATAAAGCAGAAAAAAGACATTCATAATCATACCATCCAGAGATCACAATGATCAACATTGTGGTATTTCACCTTCTAGACATTCTATGCATAAATACTGATTTCCGAACAATCGAAACCCAAAGGGAAAGCCCCAACCCTCCTCCTCATCCCCACATGTTTCTTGCATGTTTGGTGGTTTCTCCTACAGACTTTGGCCAGTGCTGGTGACTAGCTGCCTAAACAAGGGGGTGCCCTGGTTGTTTCAAGAATGATTCATGATGATTAATGTGATGAATCCCTCTCTGTCCTTTTTTTCCCCACATCCTTACCACTTCAAAGCATGAATTTCTTGAAGCATATTTCAGACTAGAGCTATTCTCTCTTTAACCACATCTGGGTGTTGGGGGCCGGGGGACGTGTGTGCTATTTTCCTTTGCACGCCACTCAGACAGCTTTTGTACCAAGTGCCTGCTATTCTGCTCCAGAAGCCCCAACAGGTGGATTTCCACCGTGACTGCTGTGGGTGCCATCACAAATATGGTGGTTGTCTAGGCCAAGGCCAACCAGTCCTTGGCAGGGCTTGTGGTCTCCAGGGTGGACTCCTTTGCCAGCTGGCTCAGAGGCTTCGAGGCAGCGGCACTGACTTTCTCTGCTGCCCTGACATGAGTTTCTGAGAATCATTTTCTGCAAACCACAAGTAGCATAAAGAACCATTTATGGAGATTGGTGGCTAAAGGTCCCCTTCTCCTTTGTCCTTCCCATCTATGCTGCCGCAGTGATAGGCAGTCCCCTTGTCATAAAATGTTCCTAGAGAGACATAAACTTTAGAGGCTAAGCCCATATTTAGTGTTCGGGTTTGCTAGTTTCTACAGGCTTCTTTGTGCTTATTTGTGGGGGTCCGATCAGATGTTACGCAGCTCTCCTTAGGCCACACTCCCTATAATCCTTGCTCAGTCTATCTTCTGGAAATTTTCAACAGCCAAAGTGGAATCTGTGATCTGTTTTAGGAAATTAATTTTCTTAAACTTTATTTTAAAGATTTTATTTATTGATTTATTTGAGAGAGCGAGAGTGCATGAGCTGAGGCAGAGGCAGAAGCAGATTCCCCACTGAGCAGGGAGCCCGATGCGGGGCTCAATCCCAGGACCCTGGGATCATGACCTGAGCCAGAGGCAGACGCTTAAGCGACTGAGCCACCCAGGTGCCCCTAGGAAATTAATTCTTATGTTAAATATGCTTTTCCAAGTTCTACACAGGCAACCAAAGAGACTCAGATTCATTTTTCCTTGCAAGCATTCCTGATGAAGTGGGTGATGACTTCAAGAGACTTCTCAATACTAATTACAATGGCTACAGTTTACTGAGCACCCATCTAATGCCAGGGCTCATTGGGCTTTCTTTAACCTGTTTTATAATTTTGGGCAAATCACCTAATTTCCTGAGCCTTATTTATCTGTAAAATGGGGTAATTCTATTTACAAGATTGTGATGAGGATCAAATAGAGCAATATTTTACCAAGTTTCTGGAACACAGTATTTGCTCAAGATCAGTTAATTTTCCTCCCTTTCAGGCACTCTCAATGAAGTCTTCCGTATGTCTATACATATATGTATCCATATGTAACTATGCAGTCAAGAAAAACGTATGCATGTGCAGAGATGTTAAGCTTTATTCGAGATTTCCATTTTTATAGTTGAATTTAAAGAAACACTTGATCATATACACAGAGAAGTGCATGAGTCTGCTCGGTCAAGAACTAGTTAACTCAGTCTTAAAATTAGGCCAACTTGTAATGTCAGGAAACTGAGGGAATGACTTGTGTAATAAAGAGACAAACTCATTCTGTGTACCCTGCAAAGTTAACAAAGGTTAGGACAGGCTAGCTCCAATTTCACAAACACAGCAGTATTCCAGCTTCTAAAGTAGACTTAGAACTGGAGGCATGTTTATAGTTACACTGATGTTTTAGTTACAAATATCCAGGCTCTTCTGAATGTGCCCTAGAGCAAAGCTGACCTTACGGGTCATCTAAGGGTAGCCCCTCATTTTCATAATTACTTGCAAATCAAACAAGAGTCTACGTCATCCAAATCCAAAGGAAAAATTTGCAACCATTTGAGATAACCAAATGTATACTCCACAGGGTATACAAACTGCATTTCCTTAACAGATACTCACTCTATGGCATTTGGATAATTTATATTTTTCTGAGACCCTTCTACTTGCATTTCCTAGCCAGCTGGTAGATGCAATGTTGCTTTATCAAAATGTAGCAGGATGCAGTGTGCATCCGAGGGTGCAAATATGTCAACCCTGTGGACACCCTGTTGCGGAGGAAGGAGTGTTATTTAGGTGCCCGAAAACCTGAGCTCAGCTCTGCTTCCAAAGCCCCGTCCGAGCTGAGATATGTCATTTTGTCTGGGGGTCTCTAGGCTCCTCATCTATAAAATGGGGGGGGGGGTGGTATCCAAAGTTCCTTCCAGCTCACAGTTCTCTACTATATAATACACAATTAGTCAAAACATACATTAGAAGCCCAAAGCTAACTTGGTTTATTTTCAGCCATTTTGCATTCATAGTTCCAAAAGTTTTATATAGTTGAGAAATGCAGGAACTGAAATGGCACAAAGTTTTTTTTCCCCCCCTCTGTCAAATGTACCTGCATTCATACTTGGACCACCCACAGAGACAGAACCATCGTTTTATTTTCCATTATTTTATCATGAACATAAAATGCGGAGTCCATCTGGTAACAGGCTTTATTACAGACTCTTTTTTAAATTTTTTTATTTATTACAGACTTTATGCATGACACGTTCGCGGCTAGGGAATAGATGAATGCCAGTCCTTCCTATCCTCCCTATCGTCAACACAGAAATGCCACAGATCTCAAACCAAAACATGTTTCAAAGATTGGGCTTACCCCCCACCCCTTATCCTGGAGGAAAAAGATAAACCTGATGACATTCTAAGACTTGGTGCCTGCTCTAATTCAATTGCTAGTATTACAAAATGCTCATACTGTTGAAGAGAAAACAAACCACGTTAGGAGTTTTGTTCCTGCGTCTGCTAGTAGCTGGTCGAGCCAGCTCTGTAACTGCACGCTGTTCACACAATCCTTTCAACTCACACCTTTGCAAGGTCCTCAGTATTCATACGCGTTAGCAGTTAGGGTCCACAGGCAGAGAGGGGTAACTTTTTTTTTTTTTCCTACTGTAAATTCTTCACAGAAGAGGACACAGAGGCAGTTAACCCCACGGTGGCTGAGAGCCTCTGTCAGGGACTGTGGGCATGGTACTGACCTGCTTCAGCTCCCTGGTGAAGTACATGTAAGTTACGGCCACGCAGAGGGACTGCAGGAGCACTGTGAAGATCAGGATCAACACGCACGTCTGCCCGGGACTGGGGCCCCCCGGGGCCTGCATCTCGCCGCGGTCCTGTCCAAGTCTCAGTGCTGCAAAGGCAGCCAGGCAGCAGGTTGTTGTCAAACCAACGACGAGGGGTGGAGCTCTTCTTAGGTTTCACTTATTTAAAAATAGAATCAAAACAAAACTGAAAACAACAGGCTAGGAAGAGGAGAATTCCCGGAAGCTCTCTCCATTTTATAGGAATGTCAGGGACCAAGGAGGGAAACAGACATTAAAAATTTTTTAAACTGGGGGCGCCTGGGTGGCTCAGTTGGTTAAGCGGCTGCCTTCGGCTCAGGTCATGATCCCAGAGTCCTGGGATTGAGCCCCGCGTCGGGCTCCCTGCTCAGCGGGGAGCCTGCTTCTCCCTCTCCCTCTGCCTGCCTCCCTGCCTACCTGTGCTCTCTCTCTCTCTCTCCGTCAAATAAATAAATAAAATCTTAAAAAAAAAAATTTTTTTTTTTTAACTAGATAGGGCTGTGTATTGGGTCAAACAGCTGCTTCCCCAGTGCTGGGGGCCTTTTGGGTCCTGTGGCTGTGCCTTTGCCCAGCGACTGTGCTAATTCCTAGGCTCCCATGCTGCATCTCATGCCAGCAACCTATCCCTGGGAGCAAGACCACAGATCTGACCATCAGCTGGGGCCACTCTAGTCTGGAGATGCAGGCTGCATCGGGAGAAGCTTCCTTTGTCATCTCTCCAACGTCACTCCGTGGCCCCCCATGCAGCAGTTCAGCGACCTGGCTGGTGTCTTTGGCTGGGAGGCTGTGTGGTGTGGGGGTTAGCAAACAACCACGGGCTCAGACTGCCTGGAGGCAGATGGTGGCCCTGCTGCTTCCTGATGTGAAACCCTACCTGGTTTTTTAAGGGCTTTGTCCTTAAGCTTCAGCATCCTTGAAGTGGGGATGATAGTAGCACCTACCCCAAAGTGTAGTTGGTGGATGAAATGAATTACTCATGCCTGGCTTCCTGGGGGTGCTTGGCAGATATAGCCTCTAACCTTTCTAGCTACAGACATGGAGACTGGAGCAGACAAGAGGATGGAGCAGGGCCTGCTCGCCAACTTAAAAATTAAGTCCCTATTTAGTCCTAAGTGAGATTTTATTGACAGTGCGATATGGAATTCCAGAAAATGTCAGAAAGACCAAGGAAATGTACCTGAGTGGTTTAGACAAGCTATATTCATGCCCAAAGATTAATGAGGTAAGAAATGTAAAGCATTCATCGTGGTCCCTGGCACCCCAACCCCAACTGTGTACATACATTTGCTTTTCCATCTTTATCTAGGTTATTGTTTACGTATGTTAAAATTCATCAATTTCAAAGGTATGGTATACCTTGATAATTGTATACAAGGTGTAACCACCACGACGATCAAGTTATAGAATGCTTACTTTGCTTTAAAAACTTTCTTCAGGGGCACCTGTGTGGCTCAGTTGGTTAAGCATCTGCTTTTAGATCAAGTCATGATCCCAGGGGTCTGGGATCAAGACCCGCGTCAGGCTCCCTGCTTAGCCAGGAGTCTGCTTCTCCCTCTCCCTCTGCTACTCCCCCTGCTTATGTGCTCTTTCTCTTAAATAAATAAATAAATAAATAAATAAATAAATAAATAAAAACTGTTTTCATCCCCCTTTGCCTGAGTTCAGTTTTGACACACTTCATTGAGTCCGGGTGGCTATCTCTAATATTGACTTTCTAGGTCATTTTAAGAAGGTAGGTTACCTCTCTGGATGTGCTTCTGCTCTTATAAAATGAAGGATGTTGAAACAGACTTGTTCCTACGGGCTCTCCCAGTACATTCAGAAAACAAGGAGGTGGGGAGCATACGGGCAGGATCTCAACTTTGCCTCTCAGTTCTTGAGAGACCACGGACGTGACAGATACTAGTGGGTAGAATCCTGTGGTCCCTTGAGACAGACTAGGTTTCCATTCCCTCTCTTGGTACTGTGTAACCTTTTCTAAGCCCACCTGTTTCTTCATCTACCATATCAGACTCTTTTTTTTTAAGATTTTATTTATTTATTTCAGAGAGAGAGAGACAGCACGAGAGGGGGGAGGATCAGAGGGAGAAGCAGACTCCCTGCTGAACAGGGAACCGGACGTGGGGCTCGAATCCAGGACCTTGGGATCATGACCTGAGCCCAAGGCAGATGATTAACTGACTGAGCCACCCAGGGACCCTCAGACTCTTTTTTTTTTAATTGAGATATAACTGACACGTAATTTTGTATTAGTTTCAGGTGTACAGCATAAGTTGATATATTTGCATATATTCATATTATTATTTGTATATTTTATGAAATAATCACCATAAGAAGTCTAGTTACAGTTCATCACCACACATAGGTACAGAATTTTTTTGTGTGTGATGAGAAATTTTATGAGTGACTCTCTTAGCAACTTTCAAATATATAGTACAGTACGACTAACCATAGTCACCATGCTATACATTGCATCCCCAGGACTTACTTATAACAGAAAGTTTTTTTTTTTTAAAGATTTTATTTATTTATTTGAGAGAGAGAGAATGACAGAAAGAGAGCACGAGAGGGAGGAGGGTCAGAGGGAGAAGCAGACTCCCCACCGAGCAGGGAGCCCAATGCGGGACTCGATCCCGGGACTCCAGGATCATGACCTGAGCCGAAGGCAATCACTTAACCAACTGAGCCACCCAGGCGCCCATAACAGAAAGTTTTTATCTTTTGACCACCTTCACCCATTTTACCCACCCATCCCTCTGGCAACCACAACCACCAATCTGTAACCTTTGTCCGTGAGTTCAGGTTTTTCTTGTTTTTTGTTTGTTTTGCCTTGTTTTTTAGATTGCACATATGAGTGAGATCATACAGTATCTGTCTTCCTCTGACATTTCTCTTAGCATAATACCTTCCAGGTCCATCTGTGTTGTCACAAATGGCAGGTTTTCCTTCTTTTTTTTATAGATGAATAATATTTCATTGTGTATATATACCATCTTTTCTTTATCCATTTATCCATTAACGGACCCTTAGGTTGTTTCAGTATCTTGGCTATTATAAATAATGCTGCAGTGAACATGGGATTATGTGTTTCTTTCAAGATAGTGATTTTATTTCCTTTAGATAAATGCCCAGAAGTGAGATTGATGGGTCATATAGTAGTCCTATTTTTAATTTTTTGAGGAACCTCCACACTGTTTCCACAGTGGCTCCACCAATTTACATTCCCACCAACAGTGCACAGATGTTCCCTTTTCTACTCAGCCTTGGTGACACTTGCTGTCTCTTGTCTTTTTGATACCAGCCATTTGGACAGATGTGAGGTGATATCTCATTGTACTTTTGATTTGCATTTCCCTGATGACGAGTGATTAGCACATTTTCAGGTACCTGTTGATCATCTGTATGTCTTCTTTGGAAAAATGTCCATTCAGATCCTCTGCTCAGTTTTTGATCGGACTGGTTTTTTTCTATTGAGTTGTACGAGTTCTTTATATATCTGGGATATTAACCCCTTATCAGGTCTATAATTTGCAAATATTTTCTCTTACTCCATATGTTGCCTTTTCATTTTGTTGGTGGTTTCCTATGCTGTACATGAGTTGTGTGCAGGTTAGCTACTCTCCCAGAAACCTCACATCACATTATAATGAAAGTAAGGCTCAGACTAATTTCTCCCACACATGGAGCTATCACTAAACAAACACTTATTAGCAAACTGAAACAACCAGATCACCTGCCCTGCAACTTTATGAAATCCCAGTTGTTTATTGTCTTGAGATGAGCAGTTCTCAGCCTTTTCTGCCCATTGAAATCACCTCAGGAGATTTAGAAAATACTGATTCCTGGGCCCCACCCCAGAGATTCTGAGGTAAGTGGTCTGGGGTGTACCCTGTGCATGAGAGGGTTTTTAATCTCCCCAGATGATTCCAACGTGCAGCCAGAGCTGAGAACAACTGACCTCTAAAAAATTTTAGATGCTCAGACTATCGCCTGACACAAAAGGTTCGTTGAAGGCAGGAGTGACTGTATTTCATTGACTCTTCTCTTAGCACCAGGCAGTCAGAATCCTCTTAATTCACAGCTGGACATTGAACAGGTTAGGAAACCTTAAATATCAATAATTTTAATAGATACCATGTCTAATATTCATTATTAACAAATCACTACTTCTACCAATGAAAACCAATTTCTGACTTTCATTGTGCCAAGTAGCAGAGTTTATGGTGTGGGTGTGGCATGAACAATAAGAAGTATTGTAGCTCGGAGGGCCAGCTCTGTAATGAGAATGACAGAGACCACCTGTGGGTGTCAATTCATAGAGTTCAGGACCTAGGGGATAATTTAAACTAGTACATTTTATTTTTTGTTTTTTTCTAAAAGTTGTATTTATTTATTTTAGAAAGAGAGAGAGGGCATGCATACAAGTAGGGGGAGGGGCAGAGGGAGAGACTCTCAAGCAGACTCCCTGCCTAGCGCAGAGCCGGGCATGGGGTGGGGGTGCAGGGGTCCATCCCTCCACCCATGAGATCACAACCTGAGCTGAAATCATGAGTCTGACGCTCAAGCTACTGAGCCACCCAGGTGCCCCTTAACTAGTACGTTTGAAAAATCACACTGTGTTCATTGTTCTCAATGCTGGCTGCTTATTGGAATCATCTGGAAGCTTTTAAAAACATCAAAGACTGAGTCCCACCCCATAACTTTTAAATCAGAAGTTCTGGTGGTAGGACCCAGATATTGGTATGTTTTTAAAGTTTCCTCAGGTGACTCTTATGTGCAAGCATTCATTTGTGATGAAGGCCTTTGAAGTAAATTGTTGGCATCATAAAAGGTGGCTAAGCTAATATATTAGACATGACAACAAAGACTAATAAAATCAAGTAGACAGTATCATCAATATTTACCTTTTATAGAATTTTTTATTAAAATTTCAGTGCCAGCTCGTAACTACTCACTGTAAGAATGTGTAAGTTTACAAATAGAACAAGAGCAAGATTTGAAGAAACACAACACTGGAAACACAAGTACTGGAAACACACGTTCCTGATTGAACCCCACCCTTTATCAAGCCCTGAATTACTTAATCTAACGA